CGCGACCCTAGTGAGGATTAAGCAATGTATAGAAAATGGATGGATGGAAGACTTTTCTGGCAATTATTTCATGCCCTAGGTTTACAGGGTTAAGACATAAGTGTTATTTAGTGCACTATGTTGGAATTTTACTATCTCTGAAACTATCTCTTCAACTGTGTACTAAGATTAAAGAGTCCATATTATGCACATTACATGTTCAATGTTCAAAAAACACACATTATACTGTGTACTGCTGCAACTGAGATGTTCTGCTTTAGCTCCAGTCTCTTTGTGGGCTTCCCTACTGGAAAGACTGGCCTTTCTGATTGTTCAACCGGTGCAACACAGCGAAGCCACACCGTGTACGTGTGTAACCCCAAATCTATAAATACAGGGGCGGTGTAGCCATAGCATAAGTGGCTCTAGTCAGGAAATAACTGGAGCTGCAAGTCAGCTGCTGATCTTTGTTTGAGGGTGTGTTTTGTAAAACTAGCAGCTAGACAGGAGTTATGCACATGGTGACATAGATTAGTAATAGTAGAAAAGCTTGGACTGCAAATGAGCCATTTAAGGCAGGTTAGGAGCAGTGTTTTCTGTGGGAGAGGATAACTCCATATGGTATAGAATTTGGGCTTTGTAAGTTTACAAACCTTTTATATGCACAAAAGAGCTACATAACCCACAAAAAGATATTGAGCAACCCAAAAAGCCCAATAAAGCGTCTTTAAAGTTAGTGGTTGCTAGTATTTTACTTTATCCATGACTTATGTAATGCTTAATGCTGCTCTGTGTCTTTTTAAATATTAGAAATATTGACAGGAAATGCAGGGAGACAACTGAAGCAGGGAAAGTCGCTGCTGTATGGTGTGCATCTTAACTACTGACACAAGTTTGTCACTACTTGGATTTTTGCTATTCTATGTTTGTAACTGATCAATTATATTTTCTGTAATAAAATGTACACCCATGAAGACTAAATGTTGTCTCAAAGGGTTCTGAACTGACAGAATTACAATCCAGGTGGAAAAAAGGTATGTCTTTATCTAGAATTAGTTTCCTTAATGTGTAATCCATTAACCCCTCCAGGTTGTTAAACTGCAGATGTCATGACTTTGGCGCTATAAATGCTAACTGAGGCTCTGATGTATTTCTCAGTAGGCTGAAACTGTTGTTGAACCTGTTTGACAATCTTGTCAGCAGTTCAAGGAAGCCAGATTGTCAGTCTGGATAATGCCAAGGCAACAAAGACTCACACAGATATCAGATGTCACTTGACTAAACTACAACAAACAGCAGGAGAAAATTCTCTGGGAAAAGTCTCTACCTTTGAGAGCAGCCAACAGGATGCTGTTGTCTGCAGCAGCTCTTGTCCGGTTACAAAGCTCTGGGAGCAGCTTCTGCCACCATAGTACCTGAAGACAACCAACATGTCATTCAGATGGGGGGGGGGGAAAACACTAAAAATACAGCCACGATTTCACAGTTTATGCGAGTAGGCACCATGTTTTTGTCCTGTAACTGGTGATTTGCGAAGGCTATGATGGCCTGAGGACATCTATCCAGCAGCTTCTCGATGCTGCTGTCATACTGCCCCCTTCTAGTGGCACAGAGGAGGTGCAGACTGAAGCCCCATAAGGTTTCCTCTGACAGTCGCTCCAACAGAGGCACCACAGAGCCGACGGACAAGGACGGGCCACACAGCAGAGACTGCACACAGAGATACAGGAACCATCAGGTGAAATGTAGCTCAAGGGATTTAGACGTTTTAAAGAACAACAAGCACAATCTTTCTTTTACAGTGCCAGAAGGGTAAGCAACAAACACAAGCCTACACAATGCTCAGCATGGCTAACTAGTTTGGAAACTTTAGATTGATGTTTCCCATGTTACTGAGTCTTTATTTGTGCTACTGTTTAGGCAAAAGCTATTCATGTATTCATGTTAAAGGTATTTAAAAACTACTATATGTCCATGAGTTTTCTGACTGCTGGCAGTGATGAAGTGTTTACTCTGCCAGGTTTAAATTCTAAAATGAAAAACCTGTTTGATTGGTCTACTGAGTCAATGTTTTTTTTTCTCTAATTTTTATTGCCTTGATAATTTTAGAAAAATATGAAGAGACACATTTGATAAGCACACAATATTAAACTTAACATAGGAAGACTTAAAGTAGACGTCATGTCCTTAAATCTGAGAAAAAATACAGACACGACATGACTTCTGTACCGTGCTGCTACACTGCTTAACAATTACTACTATGTTGTTATTGGCCCTTTTGGTCACAGTGGTTATATTAGAGGAAAAAAAACATGGCTTCCCTGAAGGGGACAAAAAGTTCATTCATTCTTGTAGCACGGCAGCAGAAAACAGCTCAAACCAGAAATCAGTTAAATACCACACAAATGTATTTTTTTTAATATATACATGATGAAAGAATGAATGTCTATTTGTTGTGTTTTTGCAGCTTTACATAGATTTTCACATAGCTTAGTGTAGCAGTATTGTATCTTAAGTTTTGTATATGTGTTCAAGTTCCATAGAAGTGCATGTGTAAGGCAGCACATTGCTGGGAAAAAAACAGATCAGCATTATGTTGAATATAAGAAATGTATTGTTATATCAAGATGTTCGTCATGTTACAACAGACAAATGTATCACGTTTTAACAAAAACTTTTTCTTGCTACAACAGTATACTATTTATCTTGTGACAGGTTTCACATTGTAGCAACAAACCAATGTTATCATACAGTTAAGATCTCATAAATTGAAGAAATTTGATCACCCACATGATCTGATCAAGTTCTACTTTACGTTTGGGTTGAAACATGGTGAGCTTCTGCTGTTACTGACCACCATGGATGATACTGTGATAGTTCAGGTAACCGTGGAGCCTTCACTGTCCCTGCAGCTGATCAGTGAGAAACGATGCTACCTTCAGAGCGTTGAACTCATTCTTCCTTCTGCACTGCCCCATGCAGTTTAGAATCAGTCTTTGTTTTCAAGTACTTATAACAATATCATCTAATGTGTCTAATAACTGCAGAATCTCATCTCAACCCAAGTATGACGTACGACTTGATCAAATTGTGTGAAGGAGCCAGGACTGGTGTCACAAAAGATATATTTCAAACCCAAACTACGAGTTTCCCCCTTCAGACGATCAACCAGCACGTCTACAGAGAGACCTGCAGCATTTGCTTTGTTCAGTGCGCGAGAAGAGGCAGAGTTGTGGCAGGACGTGGTGGCTGCTTCTCCATGACAACACGCCTGCTCACAATGCCCTGAGTATCCAACAGTTCCTGGCTGAGAAGAACATCGCCGAGCTGGAGCAACCTCCCTACTCACCCCACCGGGCTCCATGGGATTTTTTCCGTCTCCCTCAAGCTCAAGGGGGTCATCAAGGGGACCCATTTTGAAGTCTCAACTGCGGAAGATCCCAGAAGAGTCCTTCCTGAGTGTATGGCGGCGTGGCAGAGAAGGCTGGGGAAGTGTGTTAGACTCCAGGGGGATTGTTTCGAAGGGGAAAATTTGTAGTGTGTAATTTGGATTTGAAATTTATCTTTTGTGACACCAGTCCTGGAACTTTTCTGACACACCTCATATGTCCTCATCGAAACTTGAGTTTCTTGTTATAACGGTGCATCAAGGAACGTTTCTTGCTACACCAGGAAAACTGAAGAATATCTCGTTATAACATGAAAAACATGTTATGACAATAGAATTTTCAGTTTGTATTGTGATACTTATCCTTGTTTCTTTTTCTGGTCTGGCAGTACTCTCTTACACTGGGACCTGCCGTGTCTTGCCATCAAAATCCAATCATTTCATGCTTTACACTGAACCCCTTCTACATCTTATTACACCTTTAAGACTGCTGGTCTCTTCTGCCATTTATCCGTAGACACTTACAGTGGCTACCTATTCTGTGTCACATAAAAACAGACTTGAAGAAATACCTGCAGCTTGTGCAGCGCCTCCTGGTGCTGTGAGCTGGTAGTGTGAGCTGGACTGAGAACAGTGAGCCATGGGTACAGAGCACCGTAATGAGAGCAAGAGTTGATCTGAAACACACACAAACATGCAACATCTTAGTGTATGACAGTGATACCTGCATAAACTGACTTTTAAACCTCATTACATGCAAAATATAAAACATCATTTAGTTGAATGACTATTTTTTTTTCCAACTAAAATTCTGAAGCAACTAAGTATCAGTTACAGAAAAGCTGCTGCATTTTATAACAGGGCTATAAAGTGCTTTGGCTTTTTTATGAAGTCATGAAATTCAACTTCTCTAGAGATCAAAGACAAACAAAATAACTTTACCAGATCATCGGCACTCTTCAGCGACTTGCGTTTTGGAGCTGTGTGGGGGAGGTTGGTGTGTGTATCGGAGTTTGTCAGCCGGTCAATGTAGACAGACGCCACCCGGAACAGGAGCTCCTGGATGATGGCGTCCTGTGAAGAGGCCATGAGCATCGATTCCCAGAAATCCACCTGTAAGCAGCTTTCACAGCCCAGCTCCTACCAACACATACACACAAACACACACACACACATTTATGGATATTCTTTTTAGAATCTTTCATGTAGCATTGATCTAAACAGACAAAACTGAAACTAATATATCTTGTATGGTATCATTCTATTGCTATGACAGAATATAGCCACCTTGAATATGTGATCGGCCTGTTCCAGCTGAACTTTGTTGTTCTCATGTAAAGCCACTATGGCAGCCACCAGCAGTCCAGGTTGGGAGTTTGCCAGCTGGCGAGCCAACGCTGTGGGACTGACGTGAGCATGCTGACCTCCTTCTCCTCCTCCAACATACAGCAGCAGCAGCCTCGGCTCCTCGATGAACCCGTACACTAGCAGCATCTAAACACACACAGAACAAACCCAGGATTTAGCTCCTCCATCACATTACAAGTCAAACTCCTTGTTCTTCTGGTCTCTCTGAACTTCTTGTTCACAATTTCAACAAGTTCAACCTGTGCAGACATCATCACTTCTGGTTTCTCTGTATAACCCAGTCCAGCACAGATCAGAGCACACAACATTTTTACACCACTTTGGAAAGCAGCTACTAAATAAATAAATATAGAATAGTCAGGCAGAATTAGCTATGATACCACAAAAAAATTGAATGCAAAATTGGTTAAAATTAAAGTTATATTTCACTATGAAACATGTCTCTGTTGAAGTACTTCACTTTGAATTTAAAACAAAAAAAGGAAATTTCTACATGCATCTGTGCCATCCCATCCTGTGTTTCCATTTTATGTCTTCATTCAGAGTGATAGAAAGAAAATACCCAAAACACACATTTCAGTGTTGTTTTTTTAACTATACTTTGTCAGTGGGACATTTTTGGAAATTGGTACATATTTAATCAGATAATCTCTCAATTTCACTTTTTATCATGACATTTCTAAAACTTAAAATTCAAAAGATCATTGTCGTTATGTAATTGGGGAAGTGTCATGGTGATATCTGTTATGAAAGAAAGCTAGACATTTTATAATACACATCTTTTAAAACAATTTATTTTCTCAAAACAAGTTTTTCCTCATACTCGCTTTGCTGTAAGTAATTAACTGGACTTTCACTGGAATACTTTCACCTGTAGTGCCTCCCCTGCTGGAGGAATGTACAAGACCAGTAGTGGATCGCTTCCCAAATCAAACACCAACCCCATCCTCACCTCAGCGTGTCTCTCCATCAGCTGGATGTACTGCGGCAGGTCGCCCAAACGCAGCATCAAGGTTGCCATGGTGATTGTCAGTGGAACTGACACGCCAGTTGTGTCCTCCAGGCGTTGTAAAATTTGCAGGGTTCGGGCAGGACTGATGTTTATCATGGATGGGCTGGCACACACGCTGATGAGCTGTGAGGGCTCTGATTGGCTAAAAATGTCAATGACCTCATCAGCCACTTCCTGCAGGGACAGAATGTTCAGAAGGATGTTCTTCTTACATTTGAGTTTCCTTTCATGTTCGTTATCATATGTTTAGTCAACAAGTACTGCAAGCAGTTCAAATAAAACACAGCTGATAAACTGGTTTAATGATTAACAAATGCAGATGAAATTATATGTTGTACTTTAATTAATTAATTACATGTTTCAATGCTAAATTTGTAGATCGTCTCATTGGCTTCTTAAGGCAACTGTTCTGTGAAACAGAAATTCAACCATATTCAGGGTGAATTTAAGGCTCCTCAGTGACTTTGCACTACACAAGCATCAATCTAAGCTTTTAATTCTGTTCTTTTAATTGAATGTTTTGTATGTACCTGACTGAGGTGTGGCTCTGTTTCTTCCAACAGATAATGTTTCAGGTAAAACAGGAAGCCTGGACCGTAGGAGTGAGGGCTGCCTGGAAACGGTCGGTTCCTGGAGATGACCTCTGTGACGGACAGACCAGACATCCTGTAATATGGCAAACTCAGGTGGCAGGCCTTCTGAGTGCCCCTTACAGAACAGAAAAGAACAAAAACAGTGCTGAAACAACTACTAGTTTGCAGTTCTAAATAGAGGAGAAAAGACAGAAAATTGCCAAAACATACAAAATGAAGGAACGCAAATGTAAACATGCAATAGAGTCACATGCCCTAACAGGCATGCATGGCCAGATCTGCTACCACAACAGAAAATCTGATCCACAGACTATATAAGAAGACTTTCTTGTTCCCTCTTTCTTATACAGCCTATGATCTGTTCACAGTGGAAGTGAGACGTCATTCTCTGCTCATAATGCCATTACTCCACCACATCTGATCTATAGCAGACAGTTGTTTTCTGCTATACTAATGCTAAATGAATGGTAAAAATCTTGCATATTGCATATTTAAGGATTAAAGGATAAAACACCTTAATTTATGGTATGTTTAAGCGACTTGGCATGGTGGTCAGGGGGTTAGCTAGAAGGTCCTGGATTCCTGTCCTGGCCTGGGATCTTCCTCCCACAGTCCAAAAACATGTTGAGGTTAATTGGTGATTCTAAATTGTCTGTAGGTGTGAATGTGAGTGTGCTTGGTTGTCTGTCTCTAAGTGTAGCCCTGTGATAGACTGGCGACCTGTCCAGGGTGTCCCCTGCCTTTGCCCTGAGTCAGCTGGGATAGACTCCAGCCCCCCCATGACCCTAGTGAGGATTAAGCGGTTTATAGATAATGGATGGATGGATAATTAGGCTACAATTAAGGCATCGCTTTCTGACCTAAGTGAGTTAATATAAAGGGGTATGTGTGCATTATTTTGATAGGATAAAGGTTTCTACGGGTGTTTTAAAGGACAAAAGCCATGCAGCATGCCCATAGTTGTGTTTGTGTGTTACCTGCTGAAACAGTCTCCTAGCTGGGCGCAGTTCTGCCTGACTGCCTCCTCCAGTTCTTGCGTGTCTGTCTGCACAGATGCTGCAGGGTTGCGGTTCTGTTGCTGTTCTGTCTTGTGGAGTAAGGAGGCCCGGAGGAGGAGGTGAGCTTCACTTAGGAGGTGCTGAAGACTTTGGGCCTGTGGATTGGTCTCTGCATAGCGCTGACTGTATTCAACCTGACACACACAGACACACAAGTCGTACACAGGTAAACACATGCAACTATACAGCTTCACTCCCACACTTAGTCAGAACTGAATATCTTGTCTTCCTTTAGGTATTTTATGAATTTGCTTTGTTTATTATATCATGTTCATCAATGATAATTGTGCAAATAATTGCAACAAATACAAAATAGAAACAACAAGTAAGTTTTTTGTACAACAGTTATTGAAGACAGTGTGTCAGTGTTACCATCTCCTGGTAGAGCATGAGGGGGGAGACGGTGTCGACAACATAGACGTTCCATCCGTGTCCTGCTGTACTGGTTTCTTTGGGAGCAGAGATTGTCCACTTCCTGCTCCTGAGGTCAAAAGTTACAAAGAAAGGTAACAAAAAGAAAAAATCTAATGGAGGAATTAGTTCAATCCATGGCTGCACATTTATGTTGTAGTCATTACCTGCCAGTAACAGATGACATACACTTAATAAACTGAACAACAACAAACAGTGATTCCACCTGCATGACACTGCACATGCTTTAGAAACTGCTCAACTGGAGAGGAGGCTGTACACTGTGATCATGGGTACCACAGTGTCTGCATCACAGTAATACTGTCAGGAAACAACAGCCTTTGGGATACTACACCGTGTAAGATATCAACTCCGTAAGACTAAAATGTAGTACTACATTTAGTTGCATTTCACATGACCAAACAAACAGTTAGTGAAGTGTTAGTGAACAGGTTAACAGGTAACCCGGGGCTTCTGTTGCTTATGTGATGGTCCTTGTACAAAGGCTACTGCATTTGTTTATTATATTTGGCCACAGACTACGGGGTGAGGGGATGTCCTCCGCTGAAATATCTGCAAGCTCTTCCATGATAGCTATATCTGAAGAAGGTGCTTCTATAGGTTTTTAAGGTGTATGCAACATTTCCTTATTAAAAATGGACTTTCATTTTTTTAGAACATTTTTAAAAAATCTATCCAAATATATGTGTGTGTATGTTTGTGTGTGCACGTGTTACAAGAAACCAAGATCAAGTCAAATAGTTGGATTATAACTCAGCTGAGTAAAATCCAAACCAGATCCAAACATGATTAGTTTGTAAAAAAAAAAAAAAGAAGGTACACACACCGAGGGTGGTTAGGCAGGTTATGGGTGGCTAGGTTTAGGAACTAAAACAGAGAGTGTTGTTTCTTTTAGACCGAGCTGCAAAGTCACATGGAAAATTAGGTAATCAATTAACTTCATCAAATCAAATCAAGTTTATTGTCATTTTGCTGTCCATACACAGTGGTACAGGCGAGATGAAAGAGCGTTTCTTCAGGATCCCATGACGTAAAGCAATTTAAATAAAGAAGTGTTTGCATATCCAGATCAGCAGTTCAGCACAACAGAAACCACTGGTTGTTTTAGGGTTTCTGCATGTTGAAATATGGAGCGCAGATGAGCATGACTTCAATCATGTGCATTACGGATATTCTAAAGTGTAGCCTTTGTGATTTGCTAATTGGACAGCTTCAAATTGCTGTTTTGATTTGAAATTGTTAAATTGTTCAGCCATAGACAAGGGCAATTTGATTAAAAAATAAAACATTTAATCAAAATTAAAAAATGCAATCTCATGATTACGGGTGGTTTGTTTGATTTAATTTTTAAAAATAACAATTGGTGGAAACAGATTTGAATGCTATCAAATGTAATCAAAAAGCAAATACTGCTTCTCGTGGGTTGCAGATTTCTAATATTTACACATAGCTGTTATATGGTTTGACGATCTTCGTATTCTGTAGCAACATCAAAAGTCATGATTGTAGTTTGAAGTGGTTGGTGAGTAAAAATGCTTAGGTGTGTAGTAACGTAACATCCACATGAATGCCAGGACCCAACGTACCCCAGCAGAACATTGCACTGTAACTAGACGATCAATGTTATTCACTTCACCTGTCAGTGGTTTGGATCGGTGAATGTTCCAATAGGTAGAGTTACACTGAGGGTCTTAAGGGAAGGAAAAAAGATACCATGACATGTTGAATTTATGTCTACTACTCTTTGGACAATGGATTTGTAATGAGGGAAGCCTTTCCACGCTGATATTACAGTGTATTAGTATGAACAGTGCCTATTACCACTGTTAGCTTGCATCAAGCAATATTGGCTTTATTGAAAAATGCAAAAACCACAAACAATCTGCTTTAGTGGACACAAAGACAAAATACTTTTGTTATGTGAAATTAAATTTGAAGTTTCAATGTTTCCCTTTAAAATAAGGGCTGATAACCGGATTTGGTTAATAGTCGTCTGCTGATGTGAGTATTTGGACGGTCTTGGCGTTGCAGCTTGACCTGAAAGTGACAACAAAGACTGGGGAGGGTGGCTGGGTTTGTCTTACAGTAAGGGCCGTGACAGAAGGCTCTCCAGAGCTGGAGTGGTTGCGGGATCGATTCCCACCGCAAGGAAAATACCAGTCAGCATGGTGTGTTCTTTTAAATCGCTAAAATAACAACACACACACAGTAAGCAGGTTCATAAACGTGTATATGTCTGCGCACACACATCACCAGAGCTGAGAAATCCCTCCCCAGAGTACTGCGGTACCTGGTGTCTTACCTGATGAAGCCTTTAGAACTGAGATGTGTATGATCTATACAGTATCATAGCTGTGTGTGGGTGCGTGTTTAACTAAATTACTAAATGTGTGTGACTTACAGGCCTCTGCGCTGCGTAGCGCGCTCCGTCTCCTCCGGTGTCTCTGTGTCTGCTGTGGACAGCAGGATAACATGGCGGCCATAGACACACACTGACCGCAGACCGATAAACAACTGCATCCTGAGCGCGCACACCTCCAGGTTGCTGGGTGGACAAGCCTTTCAAACACACATAAAGCTGTAAGACTGAACTGTGTGAATGTCAGCTTACAAACAGACACAATGCTGTATGTGATTACAAGGTTACAACAGAAATCAGTACACTAAATGTTAAGCAGCAGTAAAGCATTTTCTGGCCACTAGGGGTCAGAGGACCAAAAGAAATGTGAGCTGTGGAAACTTTGACGCTGAACAGTAAGTGTGCTGTACCAAAAAAATCGCCACAAGAGGCTGCAAAGCAAAAGCTTCTAAGATAAGGAATCTGTAGTGAAGACTCAGGCTCATACCTTCATGGTGGTATCGATGTAGGGGTCTTCAATCCTGGCTGCTACAGCTGAACAACGTACTGTGAAACACTGCAATGCATTCCTAAAAGACACACAGACAGCAACATGCACACTCATATCCACTCACAACTTTCCACAATATGGTAGTAAGGAGAGTGAACAACACAAAAGCATAAAAACACACATGAATAATGGCTCGCCTTAATATTTAATTATAATTGTAAAATTGTGGACATGAGTCTTTACATCTACCTTTTCTGGATTTGCTGGAACATGCCTGTGTGGTTTCACAAGGTTGTTGAAAAAGATAATATTTTAAAACTTTAAATCAAACACTTCATATTGATTTAGAGGTCAGGATGTTGTTAAAGCTAAAGGGATACTGTTGTTTGATGAATTGGTTATTTGATTTAATTTCATCTGACTAAATTCTCATCAGTCAGACAATCACTGGTGTGACTTTCGCAAAGCAAGGTTCTATATTAACAAATTTCCAGAATAAATTCATGATTTTTGGCAGTGGGGGGAACAGTCTGCATTTTCGCAACTTTGAAATGGCCCAACCTTATGGAGACTGCTAAATCTAACTGATTTAACATTACTAGACGTTTACTTGACCGCATCTCCAAACTTTCTGACACCATGTGAAACAAGTCATCGGTGTGGCTGCATTTCATTCAAACGGATGGTCAAAAAGTCTGGTGTAAACTTTGCAAATAGTAGTTTGTGTATCACAGCTCAACTTTCAACCTGGCACATGACCTAAATACGGCTAACTAACTTGTCTGCGTTACATTCTTCAACAGTGCCTGTGTTGGCATCCACAGTTGATATAGTTCTATGTTCAGAAATCATATGAATATGGGCAGGTGCACACTGGTCTGCTCCAAATGATTTAATATGATGAATATAGTAGCGTTTAATGTTTATAATTAATAATTTCAGCGAATAACAGTAGCAGGGCTCAGGACTCTGTGCACTGTGGAACATCTAGTTCATCTAAACATAATGTCCAGAATTTCTTTATCCCCTGTGACCAATCTATTGGTTGAGGAGTAGGTATCATTTCAGCCGATCAAGATTTTCTTTGGTTGACTACAGTCTTAGGAATGAAGATACTGTGTATTCTGTAGTATCACAAATCAGTTTAAAAGTCAAATGTTTCCTGAGGACAACTCCCAGTGCAATTTCCTTGCTTTCATTAAAGATGAACTGATATCTGAAACCCTTCAGGACAGCAGACTTACTTTGTTATGACATGCAACAGATGGTCTGTTAGCACTGCCTCCAGGACCTTCTCTGGATACTGATAGGCTGAGAGCAGCTCGACTCCGCCCCTCAGACTGTACAGGTAGCCGGCGGTGGGGAGAGAAAAGAAGCAGAACACACACGCTGGTTCATCCACTGACTCTGACTGATTACCTGGAGGGAGAGAGAGATACGGTAAAAAAGAAATTCAACAAACATGCTCTCATCAACACATTTTACAACACGCATTTGTTACTATTCCGTTTTTTGAGTTTTCGGGTACTGCACAGAAATCCCCATCTCATCAAGTAATTACTATCTGTTAATTACAAAAATGGATTTCAGTACAGATCATTTTATTCATTTCTGCCCAGAAATCTGCATTGGCTGCTTCATGCAACAAAAACAGCTAATGATGCATCTGCCTGTGTCTCATTTATCGCACTCACTGGTGAACAGTGGGTAGAGCTGCAGGGAGTGGAGGTGCGTCTCCTCTACACTGCAGCCTTGGAAGAACTCTGGAGAAAAACGCCTGCAAAACGACATCGTTTAAATGACACTTTACTGACAAAGAATATTCCCACCATGAATGCCTAGAGGTAAAACTCAACAGTACACACACACCTGAAAAGAACGTAGGACAGCGCATATTGTCCCCGGTCCTCCAGTCCAGTCTTTTCAATGCTGACGGGGATTTCGCAGTCTTTGGCTCTGTCACCGAGCAACTCTACGTGTCCCGGAATGAACAGAAAGTCGTCTTCTAAATAATCTGCTGCACACACACACACGCAGACACACAACAAATAAATCACACTGAAACTTGCTCAAACAGTGTCATGTTTAGTCGACTTTTGTACTTTTTGCTGCACGGACAAGTAACATAAAATATTCAAAAATAGAATGTGGGAAACACAAAGAGCAGAAGTGTATTATTTGTGTGTAGTTTTCTTACTATTATTGGAAATTGCTACCAAAACCTTTAAGAATCCCTAATGATCAACTGCAAGTAGCAATATTGACAGCTACAGAAAAAAAAAAACCAGACAATTCTAAGAAGAACAATCATCAAGGTCTCTCTAGGAAGCCAAGAAGCAATGATCTCAGTAGCTGCTTTTAATTTTGTTCACCTGTGCATAAATGTTTGTGCATTTTTTTTTGCACAGAGAAAAAATGTCAAAATGCTGTTCTCTTCTTTGGTACGTACTCGCTCACACTTAGACCAGGAAACTACAAATCACTGTTAGCAACATATATAGTATCTCAGTTGGAGTGGAGGTGACTTCATCTTTTTAGTGCACTACATAAGACTGAATTAAATGATATGATGGAAGGACAACAAAATTAACACCAGAAGAGGAGGTTTGTTTGTGTAATTGTGTCCTGCAAACTGTGCATGTGCAATATACTTAAATGATGGCCTCTCTTCAGAGTTCTCCTTCACTTGATTACACTAAATGACTCTTATTGTCCAGAACTGTTTGTAGCTTGAGCACCAGAGGAGATAGAGATTTCCCTTTTTCTTTTTTTTAAACACCTTAATCTGAGGCTTTAGGTCCATAGCCAAAGAAACAAGATGCATAAGGAGCTGTTGGGAGCGTTGTGTAAAGGTAAGTGTTTGGTTATGGCGATGGGTGTGTGGCACAAACGTTTCAGCACATCACATTCAGCTGCAGTGGTTGCTGGTGCCCCTTTAGCTATGATGAGGCCTCATCCCTTTCCCCTAAAACTGTGCTTTTCACATCAGCAACAGATAAAAACCACAGTCACTAACATCCTTGATTGTACATTTATGTTTTTCTACAAGCAATAACCTAAACCAAAAATACGCAGAGATAGCACCAAGCATTAAAGGAGGGCAACAAACACTGGTGTAGTCTTGTGTGTTCTCACCGATTTTATTTGTGTCTGACGGTTCTTCCAGGGCTTTAGGTTCAGAGCTTGCTTCCAGTTTCAGTATGAGAACTTCCAGCTCTGCCTGCACGGCCACATATCCTCCACACAGCGCCACCTGGAGGAAGACAGCAAACTGAGTGTCCTGTTTTTCCTTTGTATACGGTGTGTTTGAGGAATACTTCACACTACCTGCTTGGGAGAGTTTTAATTTCTAAAATTGAGATATTTCAGCAAAAAACTAAACAAAACATTCAAACAAAAAAACAAACAATAACATGTATTCAAAAAACAGTATATGACAAAAAAGAGCTTATATGTATATTGTTAGATCTATATAAACTCAGCAAAGCAGTTGGACTACGAGGCCTCATGAATACAATCAACAACAAAACCCAAATACCTAAACAGCGAGTGTAAGTGTTACTTAGTGGCATTACAATGTACAACAACAGGTCAATAGACCTACCTATGAAGAAAATACAGCAAAAAGAAAACGGAAAGAGTGAAGATTAGGTTAAAAATCACCTGTCTTGGTGTGATTTTTGGAAGATGCAGGATGACAGAGCGTTCAAAATCCAGGACGGAGAGATTTGAGTTTGAACTTGAAGTCTGACCTGCAATAAGAAAACAGGAGGGGTTTGTTTAGTCGGCGAAGAAAACCTGTTTTTTTTTTTTTCTTTCACCACAACTTTTCCTTATCACAAGTCCAACAGAATATTCATTATTCATTGCCCGTATGTTGATCCTGACTGTCAGTAAAAAGCTCCAATGATCAGTTAGAAACAGCATCTGCGGTAAGATGTTATGATTAAACTGCACTAGAGAGCCAGTTTTGTTCAGCAGTCTTAATTCACAGCTAATAGAGTTTATTTTCTATCCGAGGACTCATATAATGCAGAATTTCTGCACATAATGCATTTAGACAGGGTGTGTTGTGAAGCGTCCTTCTCCATATCTCATATCATCCATGTTCTAACTGCAACACTCTATTCCAGTTCATACAGAGTCCTGGTTTAAAATTAGCCTTAGCCTGAAGATGTGCCACGATTCGCAGTTATGTGTTAGTTTACTTTAGCTACCTTGGCTCTGACTGTAGCTCTGCTGAGTGTTCAACGAGGAGCTCTGAGGGTTCTGCTGACTCTGATTCTGCAGAGAAACAAACATTAACCACTGCAACATACATGAAATCATTGTGCCTGCTTACACTGACTAGAGTGGCCAACTGACAATGACAAAACCAATGCGATACCATTTGATGCTTTGATAGTTTTGAGGCCCTAAAGACACAAAAATATGAGCTCAACTGCAGCTTCAACATAAGTAACACATCAGTGGTGTGCAAGGATATTTCAACATAATGAGTGAACCAATAAAGCCATCACAAAACATCTAAGTTTGTAGCACACCTGCTCTTCTTCTTCTTGTCTTGTCATGGTAAAGAAGTAAAGACGCCATTCAATTGTACATCTTAAATGAAGATAGACTACATAGAATCCACAGAGTAGATGAGCTTTAATCAGTAGTTGGATTCCTACCAGGTTCTGCTGGTTCTGTCTCCTCAAGGTAAACAGAACCAGAGTGTTCTGACAGCCGACCAGAAGGTCTCCTGTCACTGAGCAACACGCCACAGCAATGGGACGCTCTGACAGAGGGATCTCAATGATCTCCATTTGCACTCCGCCCCACACAGACGCTCCACGCAGCAAGTGGCCCAACAAACGCACCCCAACACGGGCCTTCTCTTCTGCCTGAACAGAGAGCAAGAAGTGATTCATTAATAGACACAGATAACAAAAGTCAAAGGAGGCAAACATAGAGATTAATGCACGGTATACAGATGACAAACCATAAACTACACATATTGAACAAATATTACCACACTGGTATGGCAACAGTTTCAGATTTTTTTGGTTGGTGAAGAAAAGTTTATTTCTTACTGATGTCAGTAAAATTCACATTTATACAGTTTGAGTCTACATTTTGAGACTAACAAAGGCAACAGTTGTCAGTGCACAGCTTGATGTTAGTTAGAGGATCTGGGAGACTTCACTGAGATCGATTGTGTCAGTTCTTGGGCTGAATTTACTGCAGTGTGGTTTTGGTTGGAAGCTGACATTGTTTGTGCACTGAAACTTGTGCACCATTCATCCTGCAAAACAGTGTTGCATAGCTGTATCAGTTAAATGCATATTTTTCTTTCTTACAGTGTATATTTATAAGATGTGTGTTAAATCCTGCAAAACGATTTCTTTTTTGAAAAATCTCAAACTTGTTTTGAACTGGACAGGAGAGTGTAAAATCTGACATTGATGCACCAATCAGGTTCAGTTTCACAAAGGCTGACCCTGGCTGAGAGCAACGTTTAGATTGGTCTATAATGTAAAACTGACATTATAGAACACTGTACTCTTACATTATTACAATACACTTCCTATGTTCGTTTAGATTAACAAACAATGTGGCAGACCATCCATGCTGATGTGCAAACTGAATAGAAGTGGACAGGCAGAAGGTGTAGGGAGGTTGACAAAGGCCTGAAGGCTCAACAACGTCTAACTGAAGTCTGACCACTGCTTAGATTTAAGTCACTGTCTTTGTGTATATTTGTGGAAAGTGATAATCCCAGGAATTTAGATTCAAGAACTGTTTCCTTATTCTAATTGAGTTTTTTTTGTTATAATATGGTTGAAATGAGGATAAATTATCTTTATCTGAATACATAAAAAAGACAGTAGAATAGATGTGCTAGAATTCAGAGAAATGTAACATAAAGCATTTGTGACAAAGCTGAGGCAGTCGTTGTGTACTGCCTAAGCTTGTGTTGTGTACCTGGTAGCGCCAGTTGGTGTAGGCTCTTAGATAGGTGGCGCTGTTCTTTTCTTCAATGGTCACCAGGTAGTCTCCTGGATGTAAAGAAGGAGAGAGGAGGCAACAAGGAAAAGTAAGATGTCTGTTCAATCCATCTTTTTTCTCCCTCCATTCATCACTGTAGTCACTACCAGCAGCTTTGCTCACAAATAACAGGCAGAAACCAAAAAGGCCAATAAAAGTGAAAATCAGTACTTAGTTCTAGTTCCCGTAGCAGAGGAAGAGAGGAAATGTCTTTACCTATTTTGCTATGCTGGATGCTCCTCACAGTGCCCATGGTGGCAAAGCGACAGATGAGAGGGCAGCCCTCCTTCTCCAGATTATATGACTCCACCTTGGTTCAGTTCAGGACAACATAACGAAACAGTCAGTATGCTACAGACACATTTCATGTATAAAAAGATAAACACATAATAAATAAAATGCATTTTTTTTAAATATACATTTTTGTCATCTGGTAGACCATCATTTTTATCTGAAAGTGCACTTGTGGCACTCTTTGAACTCTTAGTGGAGAATCAAAGTTATTTATATTGGTCCAATTTCATTTTATTGCAGAAACACTTTTTTAAATGGCACATTTAACACTAGCAAGCTGCAGAGTTGTAGTTTTTAATCTCAAATATAGATATGTTGACCTCTTGTCAACACATTACTGTTCACTGTTTTTTTTAAAGTTTAGTCTTTGTGTTTTTTCTGCACATATATGAACATCAAGGCATAACATCAACAAAGACAGCAATGACAATACATTTTAACAGAACAATGTCATTCTTTCAGTCTATTGAGGAGGCAGCTACAACAGGCTCACTAATAGATGCTTTACTGTTGGCAGATACTAAAGATGTAAAAAGCTTGACTACTGCAAAATGTGGCGAACTGGGAAAAAATATGAATACAAATTTAAATAGGGCACATATTGGTGTAGAAATATTCTTATTTCAAGGTAACCTTGCAACCTCCAGTTGCCACCACGAACAAGGCTCCACCTCCACAGCAGAGCAGTCCAGGTTCCTGCTCCACCTGAACCACACAGAGAGAAAGTGATCAACTCTAATGCCCAATTGAAAATGATGAATATTGTTAACGTAATAAAACCTGGCATGCACTGGAGCGATATCAACCAACATTTACCTGTACGATCTGCTGGGAGGCGAAAGGATGGCAGTTGTAGACGTGCACCATGTTTGGGAGATGGGATTCAGCTCAGGGTGCCTCACTGCTGCTTTCTGTTCTTTCTGCTCCTTTATCGATATTTCTTAGAAGCTTTGTCCATCGGGACACATGCAGAAAAACCACTGCAAGAAAATCACATTGCAAAAAGGTTTGAATTTAGTCCAATCTCACACCAGATCAAAAACACTTTTTCATTGTGGCGAGATAGTCTATAACAGAGAATTGACATATGGGATGTTTTCTCACTTGTCTCTTGTAGTTTAAAGCTGTGTAGGTAGTTAGCTTTATTTGTAAGTACATTTGTCACAAGTGGGCTGCAAGGTAGTGCAGTGGTTAGCACCGTTGCCTCGCAACAAGAAGGTTGCCGGTTCAAGTCCTGGATATTTCTGCGTGGAGTTTGCATGTGGGTTCCCTCCAGGTTCTCTGGCTTCCTCCCACACAGTCCAAAAACATGCTGAGGTCTAAATTGTCCATAGGTGTGAATGTGAGTGTGCTTAGTTGTCTGTCTCTAAGTGTAGCCCTGTGATAGACTGTCGACCTGTCCAGGGTCAGGCCCTAAGTCAGCTGGTATAGGCTCCAGCCTCGTGAGGATTAAGCAGTGTATAGATAATGGATGGATGGATTTATCACAAGTGAATCGATATGTGTGATACCATTACACATTCATCCATCATCTATACACCGCCTAATCCTCACTAGGGTCGCAGCAGGGGCTGGAGCCTATCCCAGTCTATCCTTACACATTCATTTAAAGATTCATTCACATATATGTACATGCAGTTTTTGAAAATCGTACACATCATATATTACATTTCAGACACGTGAATTTTGCATGTAAGAGACATAGCAGTGGCCATTTCTGCCTGATTACAAATATAATAAAATGAAGGTTAATGGAATTTTGTTTATGATGCCTCATAAAATAATGAAAAAAGTTCCATTTTGAAAAAGTTTCTAAAAATTTATTCTTGATATTACAATGTAAACAGTTCTCAAAGAGACTTTTTTTTTTTTTTTTGGTAAAAGGCAGTTTCAATGACAAAGATTCACTGGAAAAACGTCTGCAGAGCTGGTTCACAGTTAAGACATGTCTGAGAAAAATGACCGAAGAATTAATATTAGAATCACATCATTTTTAGTCCTTATCCACAGAAAGTCAATCCAAACTTTCATGTGAAACTTTAGAACAATAAATCAAAGGAAAAGTATCCAGATAAAATGTTGGAACCAAAAGACCAGTGAAAAGCTACCAGCTAACTGCTGTGTCTGTCAGTAGACGAGGAGCAGAGCTGCGTCTCTAATCGATATCACATGCCGCAGTCTTGTGAGCAGCAGCAGCAGCAGCTCCGCTTCTTTTACTTCAAATCCCCTTATTTCATCGCCTGTTTGTTCACATCCTACTTCCCGCGGTTGAGTCTTTACAGAGAATAAGTAGTATGTTCTAAGTAAATACCTCCTTTGCTGCCAGGTCTTTAGTTTCTCTTCTCTTCCTACTTTAGCTTCACAGCTGCAGTTTACTGATTTCACGCTGTAAAGGAGGAAGTGAATTGTCAACCACAACACCGGAGAGCCCGCCCCCTCTTGATTCTAATTGGTTTAGGAGCCTGCCTGTATTACGTTAGAGGTTCCTATTGGCTATCGAGCTGTCATAAATTGAAGGGTGGATCTGTTATGATCTTCACTGTTCTCGTTTGTGTAGTATAAGTATTGTATATTGCCATTTTAAATATGTGTTTGACAATGTGTGATTTTGAAATCAAAAGCCGAAGCTGTGGGTTATCAATATATAGATATATTTTATACAGAGTATGTGAAGTAGAAGCAATATTCCTCGTTTTTTACATTTCACTTTCATTTTCTAAAAAAATACATGAGACTGTTTTAGCTTTAAGAAAATCAATATATAAATAAATAAAAAAAGATCGACATACTTTATTATGTCAATCTTTAAACAAACACATTGTATCCATATTATGTAATAACGGTTTCACTGTTTGATTTTTTTGTAAACAAAACAAAAATTACATATAGCTTTTTCACCAAGTGTGGCATAGTCCTCATAATATTCTAAACTTGCATTAATTAATATTTCGGATTTACTATAGAACAAATGTCAAACAGCTTACTTAAAAAACAACAACAACAACAAAAAAAAACTCAAGAAAATATAGAAATTATTTAACACTAATAAAATTGTTCAAAACTCTTCAGCAAATACACACAATGTCAACTTTTCCTCTTCAAATTAGGATTGCCTGGAGCCATAGGAATAGTATATGTAGTAAAAAGTGAAGATCTGAAAGAGCTGAACAATCAGGATTAGAGTTTCCATGCAGGTGCCTGAGGACAAGGAAGAGATGTGGGCCCTATGTTTCTCTTGTCCCCTGTATAGTGTTTTTGTAGGTTCATTATTAATTAGTCTGTGTTTCCTTGATGAAGTGAAAATGCATTTTGCAAAATGTAGCCACGATAAAGAGAAACAATAAAAGCAGTAAAACTGCATAGGTTCTCGATTACAGGTTATTTCACAGTTGTTGCTTTAAATCAGCATCATTTAGTTAAATTACAGCGTAGTTTTTGTCTGGTCTCTGCCTGTTTACATCTGTAGCTAAAGTTCAGTGGGTTTTTCAGAGCTCTTTAATGAAAACAGCTGCATCTGTGACTGGAAATGATGCTGAGCAGAGAAGGGGGACAGAATCAAACCAGAGAGCTTGAGGATGCTGTTTATGATCTAAAAAATTCACATAAGTAGGTCAATTTCAGATGCATGTGTATATTTGTCATGTAGCTTCAGGTGACCAAGAAGACGTGTTCTTAAATATACAGTACGTCCTCATGCTGCCATGTTTTATCAAGTTGGAAATTACTGATGTAGACTTTTTTTGTGTTGTAAACAGTTATCAGAATGTTTTATCAGAACTTGTTCAAGACATAGACATTTAGATTTATTGTTAATCCAGTTCTTTTATTTGCAGATACCTAAAGTCTGGGAGCTGAGGAAGAGGTAAAGAGGCCACGCAGGAAGACACAACTGATGAATTAAAGCAGACAAACCACACGGGGGCAGGAGTTGACAAAAAAGGGGGGATAACAGAGATGTGTACAGTCCTCAGATGTATTCATACCCTTCCATTAAAGAAAAGACAAAATTCACAATAGTCACTAAAATTACCAGAAACTGAAAAAAGTCATAATAAATAAAAATTTGCTAAATTATAATTTAGTGAAATAAGACATTGCTTTTGAATTGTGGTGGAAAAGAATAATTAAAAAAAACAAAACAAAACAAAACAAAAAACTGTCGCGGACAAATTAGAGCACTTTACTGATGAGCAGTGGCCAAAATCCAAATACCTGTCAACAGGTGCAGAAGCCTGATTGACAGTTACAGAAAACACTTGATTGCAGTGATTGGCTCAAAGGGTTGTTCAACAAAATATGAGTTTACGGGTCCCATCAGGCTTGTTTGCTTGTTTTTTTTTTTTTGTTTTTTTCTTTTAATATTTCTGTTGAACCACAATTCAAAAGCAATGTCATGATGTTCATTAACATTATTTCATTGACAGCTGTTTTTTTCCTTCTTTATTGGGAGGGTATGAATACATTTGAGGATGACTGTATTTGCACCACAGACTGCATTGAAATAGAAATCAGACTTTTGTAGGTACAGATGTACAGATTAAAATGTACCAGCTTCTATGGGATTTAAAGATTATATTGTTCTTATTTTGGTCGGCTGTGAAAATGGCGGCTGGAGTTAAAGGAAAAAGTAAAGAAAATGGGAATTAACTCAAAAGTTACCAAGTACAGTAACTCTGTTTAGTGTAAAACGTTTTTCCTGAGCTTTTCCTCACTTAAATGGAAGAGGTAAAATGTACATTATTCACATTAGTCAGCATTTCTGGTTCATGTTTAGGTCAAAATGTTGGATAATAACAGATAATGTAATAGAGTAAGGGTCACTATAAATTTATATTTGTGTTTCCTCTTTTACCTTTATTTTAATGGCTTCTCTGTTTAACTCTAAAGTTTGCTCTTAGGTGGTTCAAACAAACTTTAAAGCCACTAGAAGACTGAATTGTATTGTTCAGCTTAGCTAGCATGCTAATGCTAAACACAAAATAATTTTGATGCCTCTGAATAGTTAATTTAGTGTTACTATGAATGAATGAATGAAATGAATGAAATGAATGAAATGAATGAATGAAAAATACTTTATTTATCCCAGAAGGGAAATTCAATGTGGCACTAATGTCCACATTTTCTGAAATGTGTGAAAGCTTATTCTTGTTTAGTGAATAATAAAAAATGTACAATGTGTGGCACTATTCTATTTAAAACAGTATCACCTGCAAGCAATTGAGCAATTAGCCCTGAGAAGCTATGGCTGCTCAGACCTATTAAAACGAAGCTAATTAGCATTGTGTGCCTAAATATTTCATTGCATTTTCACCGCGGTTTCATTACGGCTACATTTTTTTTTTTTAAATGACAGAGAAAGAGGAAAGCCTCAAGTCATCAGGTCAGGATGCAGACACAGCATTAGTGATCCGTTACTTGGGAGAAAGCAGAAAAACATCCCTCAGAGGGCTAACAAGCCTGTTATTCACCCTCCTTCCAAAAGTATTGCTCCTGGAGGGCTTTCCAGCTAATTATCATCGTCTTAATTTCCATTTACTCCTGTTTATACTGCCACTGCACCACAAGGTAGCGTTTTACATAGCCGCCAAATGGCTAAGTTCATCATTGTTGATCTGTGTAAGTACTTGAACACGACCACGTTTTATCTCTGTGCCTGAATGCAGCATCTCTCTCTCTCTCCCTCCCTCTCTCCCTCCCGGTGGCGCTGACAGGTACTCCGGGGTTGTGGCTTTCTGCAGACTTCAGCTGAGGTGTCGACAGTAACTTAACTTGATGTCAACCGCCGATTGAAACTTTTGCAGTGCAACGTGCCAGAACGAGGCTCCTATAATCAGAGCTCAGACTTGGGGGGGTGCTCCTACATTCAACTCTGCATTATATCCTCAGCAAGTGTGCAGCCTGCATGCAGCAGTCGGCTGCAGCTCCTGCGTCCGTCTGTCGTCCTGCAACTCTGGCAAGGTAAGACTGATTTTTTTAATTCAATGATGGACACTTTCATTTATGAACGTCTCATTCGAGTAGAAATGCATCCATAGTACATGACATTTTAAAGATGTAACCCTCTAATAATCGCTGACAGGTAGCACACTTACTGACAGAAACGATGTACTTGCACATAGTTTGAGGTCCATTTAAATGTAGACAACAATACTGGGTTTGTGACCAAAATTCAAATAACTTGTTTTGCACTTGGCAGTCTGTTTTTTGAGGATTCCATTTTCAAATAGCTGCAGTTGTAGACTATTAAGTCCTTCTCGTCAGTTATGATTCAGCATTGAATTGCATAAACTCTGTACTGTACGGTCAATTTTCTAAAACGATTATAGTGATTTTTGCATCATAATGTACAGTGATAAGAGAGACGTGAGCCAAAAGTGTTCCTCCTTGCTGGGAGGACACGCTATGCCCCATTTGACCTTCTCAGCTTCTTCAGAAAAACAGAAATACTGCTAAGCTGTTTGTAGATCTACAGTATTCAGCGCATAATTCAGGCAGCTGTGGAATGGCCCTACCTCAGAGCTGAGTCATGCAAATTATACCTCTTTTTTCTTTCTTCTATATTTGAGCTGTTATCACCAGACCACAATCTTTTCATGTCAAATTACATGCCATAAAAGCCAAATATACTGTCTGACTTGACATCAAGTTGTCTTCCTTAATATTCCTGAAGCAAGTGACATTTTTACAAGAGAAGAGGAAATAACTAAACGGCACTGATATTTTTGTTCAAATTGCCAAGAAAGAGGAAACTGTGACGCAAATAACTTGCAAGATTTTATTGCAACGCTATTTTACATCCCACTGATAAGAGTTTCCCTGTTTTTAAGGCAAATTAAACAGAATTCCATACAAGTGGTAACTAGTTGTAAATTCTTCTGTGCATTTCTACAGTGATGTTTTATTGGGCAGCAAATTGTAATGCAGAAACATGTTGGCTCACAGCTTGTGGAAATAGTTTTGAGATCCAAGCAGGGATGTTAGTAAAACCCACTAAACCGGTTTTTAGGATGAAATAAATCTTCATGATATTGATTTACAAGAAAATATTATACTAATTATTGTCAGTCAAGTGATTCAAGTAATTTGTGATTCTGTTATTTCAAGGATAAAGTACAGGAGATGAACTTTGACTGGAAAGTGTATAATTTTATGGGGTTGAATTACACTGCCAAAGCATTTTCCTCTTTTCCCTCAGGGCTTGTGAAAGAAATACAAAGATGCTTGTATTTAAATACCCAATAAAGCAGAGAAAATTATCATCCGGGGAAACATCGGAACCGTGTGGGACCAGTGGAGAAAAACTTTCAATGAAATGCAACCTTGTGGAGGCAAGAATCCAAACCGAATGAAAACTGCTGATACTGTGGTGCAGTGTGATAATAGCCCCTCTGCTCCGAGCAGAGACACAGTGAAAGTCATCTAGAATTTCACACAAATAAGATGTTTGCTGCTGTGTGGCTACTTAGCTGCAAGCCCAGCCATGCTTGATATGCACCTGTGTGTGTGTGTGTGTGTGTGCGTGTGTGTGTGTGTTTGTGTGTGTGAGAGAGAGAGAGAGATCAACTCAGAGAAAGACAGAGATAACTTAATGAAGTTGTCATTTTTGCAAACCCCTCTGGGCAGTGGTTTAGTCTTAACACACACGTGTACACCAAATGCAAGCAGCTGTGCCGTCGCTTTAACTCTTTCATAAATTCTCTCCCAGAAAGAATGTTGGATAAATGGAAAGACGTAGAAGGGAGGATGGGAAGAGGGATTAAAAAGACAAAGTGTATAAAGGTGCAGAAATGAGGAGGAGGAGGAGGAGGAAGAGGAGGAGGAAAACACAGATGAAGCAATAAAAGGTGTTATAAAAATGAGTCAGGAGAGGAATATAAGATTTAAAACCAAAGAAAATAAAGGAAAAGTGCAAAAAAAGATAAGGGTTGTAAAGGACAACAAGAACAAAACAAAGTGTGAGAAAACTATATGGAAGAAAAAGTAATAAGTGATTTCATGGATGAATGGAAGACAAGTAAAGGAGAGATGTTTTTAACTGGTCCAAAAATAACTGCTTCCTCCTCGTAACAAACAGTAGTTATTGAGCGTCTAACCTGGTCGTCACTGAATGTCCTTCTTAGTCATATTTCGGCTGATTCTGTAGCCTACTGTAACCTACAGGTAAACACATTCTGAAGACGGTTTCAGACATGTTCTCAAGACAAGCACTTAACCACAGGGAGAAAATGATATTCCACCTCAGTCACATGTCTGTTTTCACACCTCAGAAATAGTTCAGAAGAGGTCAAGGAGCCTTTTTAAAAAACTGTTTACAAATCGTTTCTGCAATTATTGTGCACAGGTTTGATTTTCATTGAATGTAGAACAACACAATGAAGAGGTGCTTTAGGCCTTAATGGGTTACAAGTGTTATTTTATGTTTTGTTTCCTGCAAGCCCCAAGTGTAGCATTTCAACTGTTGATGAATTTGTCTTGAATTTTAAAAAAAAATGTCATGGCAATTTGGTTTAGAGTCGGCCTCGACTGGGCAATGCAATGGTGGGTATCAAACTGAATTTGATTGTATTTTGACATCAAAGCAATTCGAAGCAACTGCGAGTCACACTGAAATGTTCATGCTGCAGTGTATAATTTGAAATGTGTGTCAGTTATGTTTAATACTCTGATCTGCGCTCTGTAATGTATTTAAGTTGCCAATGTCTGAGGGTGAGTTTACAGTAAATACTGTCAAAAAGGACCGCATATGCCTGGATACAGCTTTTTATCTTCAGGCACCGGTTCTCATCCCTTAGCTTAGGCTTTCTACTAAATTTAAAACATTTTAACCTCGCTGTGCAGAATTTATTGGAATCATTTGTCGGTGTGTCTCGCTGTTGTGTTGTTTCTGACAGCTGTGTATTTTTTAAGTTGTTCTTTTAGCTAGGTCTATGCCCAAGTCAAATTTCCCCTCTGGAACAGTAAACTATCTTATCATATTTTTCTGTAAGGTGACTGGCAACCCACCGTGGCTGAATATTAGTAACTGAAAGTGGAAACACAAAGTTTTATAATGACACCAACAAAGGCACAATGAGGATCACTTACATCAAGACTGATACTTGATCTGCATAATAACAGCGGTCTGGTGCCAGTACCAACATGGTGTACTAAATCAGTGCTGCCACAGTTAGGAGCCACTGATCTGCAAAGGTACACTAGTCTCCTCACATGCTTGCTTATAACTTCCCTGAATAGCCGCATCTCTAAAACTGATAGGGTTGTATTAAGAACAGACCGACTAACTCAGCAGAACTGTCTTAGATACATCAGTTTTGGGCAAATTTGTGCAGACGTGTTCACAATGCTAACCACTTGTGAACTCTGAGTTGTTAAGGAAATCAGCCAGCAATGTTCTCTGCAGGGAAAAACCAACAACAATCCATCCTCCCTCGCATGATCGTGTTTTGATTCAGAGTGTGCATGGAGAGGAGGGGTTATTCTGGGACGGGTCTGCTGTCAAATTGTTTGTGTGTGTGAGAGAAAGAGGGTAGTAGGGTTCTGTTATACAATGAAACAATGTTTTAATTGATTTAATAGTGTTGACCCTTGAGATGGGATGCCACAAATAAGTCAATGTATGGGCAATAGTGTGAGAATATTTTAGGTTCATTGGGAAACTTTCAGAACAAATAAATTCCCAATAATTATCTCGGTAATAAACACTGATTATGTAATCATACTGTGATCATTTTTAATGGTTGCAGTGTTTAAAGCTTTATATAATTAATTATTTAAGCGTTTTTTGCATCCGTGGAAGGCTCTGTCTGGTGTTTTTTTTTTTTAAACATAATTAGCGATAGAAAGATGTCGACTAATAATCGTATCCGATATTCAACAGTTTTTTTTTTAATTTTAAGTTGATTTTAGAAAAGAAAAGGTAGTAGAATATTGATTTTAGCCATATTGACTGGTAGGTGCTAAATGTACAACATGAATGAATTGTGTGAAGTACACTGACTTTGGCTGTGTTTTATCTGACAAAAAGGAAGCAACCTTTGGTGCCACCTAAAATATCAACACAATTCCCTGCTACTGTCTGGTCTTCTCTGCATGGCGTCCTTCATTTGAAATAATCACATCGTGCTGCCTTGCTGAATAACAGGAGCTGGAATAGGCTTGGTGGTGATGCTGATGTTATTTTTGCTGCTTAATTCAATTGGTTGGATTGTGTCACTCTAATGTGATTGGCAAAATGGATGCCCTTGGACTATAAAAGGCAGCCAATACAGGCATTAGAGTAAAAGGGGAAATTGTCCTCTAATGCTGTGTTGTCTGCTCTGGCCTTTGTGTTTGCTGTTTGCCATACTTGCTTTGGAATTTGGCGAGTATCTGTCAAAAAGCCGGGCCTGTTTAGATCATACAGTAAGTGAGTCTATTTATATTCCATGATAGAATGCATGTTGTTACAGTGCCCTAGAGAATCGTGGTCATGGGAAACAGCTGAGGTCAAACCAACAGGAAGAGGAGAGGAGAGGAAGAAGAGCTTTTAAGGGTTAGAATATGGGTTCAGTTTTCTCCAAAGTGAACTTGGTCTCTGGTTCTACTGGGATATGTTCTCCCTTCACATCTTTTCATCTCATGAGCACTGACCCCTTCTCTCGTCTCCTGTGAGCAGTATTGGGAATGTATACAAGCATGTCCTTTCTGTTGTAAATAAAGAGAAAAAATGCCAGCCCTGTAGAAAAGAGATCCCCAAGAGTTACACATCAAAACCTTTATTGTTGGCCAGCTGTTGACATCCTTGCTGAACTGCCTTCTGACTTATGTCTTGTTTCTAACCTAGAAAAGGAAATCTGACCTCCCCAAAGAACATGTGACACATGCATATTTTTTTCCTTTTTTCCTGCCAAGGAATATCTAACTCCCTTAAATTGCTTTCCCTCCACCAACTCCTCAAATTGAATCCAAGTGTTCAGTTG